CTGCAACAACACCTTCCGTTGGCGAGGTGTTGTTGTGGCCTTATGCTCCACTAGGAGTTTACAGGAATAAAAAAAAAAATGCATTCAATTAATTTTTTTTAACATACAGCATATTTTCTCCATGTATTTTGAAGTATCATGAGTACTCGTGATAAAATTTTACATGGTGTTTAATAATATTTTTCTCTGCATCTGCAATAATATACAAAGAAAGGGGTCTCTCTCATGTAAAAAGCCTTTCGTGGTAAATAAAATCAGCACCACATATACAGTTTTGAAGACTAGAGTAACAAGCACAAAGTATATAATCGCATAACTGCAGAGAAGGCACTATAAGAGCAACAATAATTATTTAATGCAAACATTGACTTCCTTTAAACCAATTACTTTTGTTCACATTATTAAAATTATGCTGTTAGAAATCAAGAGAGTTTGTATTTCTTTCCAATAGGGTAAGAAAACAATTTTAGTTATTTTAATATTACAAGAAAGTACTTAAAAATTCAAAATTCAAACAAAGAAGTAAGATTACATAATCTCTCTCACTCTTTTAACGATTGAAACCTGGTTCATACCTTCACGTGACTCTGAGCTGCCAGGTTATATACTTCTGTAGGGCGAATCTGGCTGATTAATCTTAGCAAACATGTTCCATCTGTCATATCACCATAGTGTAACTTCATTGCTACAACACAACAAAATTAACACATTCACTACATTCCTGAAATAATATTTCAATATGCAGAAGCTTGAATGCAAGAGAAACAAAATCTACAGGAAAAGTTACTATGCTTGAATCTATGTTAAATTTTATCACATACATGTATGAATAACTACAGACCATAATGATAACTAGTTTCATAAGTATGATAATATACTTAAACAAAGATAAAGATAGTAAACCAGATAGTAAACGTTTTACCACAAGTACAGCATATAACACAGCACTGTATGTATGTAACTGATGATTTTTGTATTCTGTTGTGCATTACTATAAACATTAAATTATCTTTAGCAAACAGAAAAAGAAAGATAATTTTTCATAATAGTACTATTTGGATGAAATAGAAAGTACTCTTAAAAGATCTTAAGTATTTGTAAATGTAGTTTTAATGCAACACTGATAGCAATATATACATGTATAAAAGTTATTTTATGATCTAAAAATATAACTACATAAAGAAACCTAGTGTAGTTTTCAAACATATGTTCACTTTTATATTCTTTCCTCCCAAAATAAACTCTGAGGCTATTCAGATTTCAAGCTAAAATTAGCTCTGCATATACAGCTTGTATATTTTCATGTACAGCATTTTCTAGTACCTCTCTTTCAATAACATAACAGCTTATGTCTAATACAGTATTTCTCAACTGGTGCACTATCAGTCATGAACAGCTGTGCTGCAAAAGTTACAAGTGAGAAAAATAAGTAAATTAATGAACGAAACATATCATTTATGTAAATGAATTTTGTTTAAGGAAACAATGTGTATTCTGTCATCTTGTTCTTTTGGTGAACAGATGTGAAACAGTACATCAAGCTATGCTCTAATAACTTTACAGTTCATGTGGTTATAAGAACCGAATGTTGGACCAAGTTGTTTGGTGTTCCATGTAACATTTTGATTTAAGTAAGTGTGCCTTAGATCGGAAAAGGTTGAGAAACACTGGTCTAATGCATTTCAAGAAAAGAACTAAGCATTAACATGTAAAATATGATCTTTTGTTTTCTAAAGTTTGCACACCTGTTATAACTGACGACAAAATATATTTCTAACAACTGCTAACACATCATTTTGAACTGTTTTCTCCTTTTTTAACTTTCATGGCTTAAAACAACAGTTATTTAATTTTTGGTTCTTCCCAACTGATTTTTTACATATTATGTACCAGTACCCTGTGCCCAAACTAAATATTTTAAAATGTTGTTAACTAAATGAAATTATATGTAATAGTTATAGTATTTTGGCACTTGTGTATAAAGTTAAAATCATAAATAATATTCAACGTTAAACTGGTACACAATTAAAAACATTTTATTTAAGCCTATCTATGGCTTTCAAAAAGTTGACGACTCTGCACGTTTCGACGTTACAATGTCATCCCCCGGAGTTGTAACGCCGAAACATGTAGAGTCGTCAAC